CCTGTAAAGGATCCCTGTAGCCGTGTCATTGTTATAGTACTGCTGTTAAGAAGGCCACGGTACTGTAACAATATAAACCAGTTCCAGAAAAATTTTACAAGATATAGTAAGACTATCAGGAATATTTTTATAGTAACTTATGAAACCTGATAATATATATACTAACTCTGTATTGCAAATTGTTTAATAAATATGTGAAAATATAACTTCTTCAATTTAATAACATGCTTATTGCTAAATTATAACTTTTTGTGCATATCCTTATTCGATTTTCTCATCCTTAGGTTGTTAGAATAGCAATCTAACAAGGTTTAAATTTTAATTTGTGTGCAAGTTACTTAACACTTACTAGCTAAAAAACACTTATGTATTTTCAGACAATGGATTGTTATTGAATATCAAATCTGACATTGTGATCTTTAAAAAAAACAATCAAAATTAGCCTTAATATAAAAACTATATCGATATATACATGTAACTTATAATTACAAAATTATCATAATCATCATCATCATTATTGTTGCATTCTATTGTTTCTTCATCTGTAGAACCAATGTTTGATTTTTTTAATTTCATTTTAGCAGTAGCTTCCTCTTCCTTATTTTGAACAATTTCTGCGAGCTTTTCTTGAGAGACAGCTTGGTTGGTTTTGTAAGCCTTCTAAAAAATACAAATTTGTGAATTTGTGTAAGACTTTTGGAAACATTCAGTTATAATATACTATAAAAACATAAATATGTTTTGCAATTAATTTATTGGTGCATTTTATGCCAGAACTGTGAGGGTTTAGTAAGATATCACAAATCGGTATAATGTATATACAATATATAGTTGGAAAACTTTTGTTACAGAATTGTTTGAAAGCCGAAAAACATATAGAAGTGATCAATTCCTTATTTTCGAACAGTGAATTATAATCATCACGAGTTTGTTTTGAGGTCTTCCACTCAGAAAGTTTCACAGCAGAAATATTAGTATCTATTCTTTCTAGCTATCCTTCAAAGGCAGCAAAAATTGCATTTCGAATAGTAGCGGCTATATCATTTCTTTTATTTCTGTATTTACTTTTTATCTAAAAAATAAAGAGAATAAGATATTTAGTGTTGCTATTAAACATAATTAGACTGGCTAATTAAACCTTGCTAATTGGATATAAGTTCAAACTAATTTTAAATTAAAACTGAAGCTAATTGGATAAGGCTAGATTAATTAAAAAAAAATATTGGCTTAAGACTAATAATAAATTAAAAATAAATAAAATATGATACTTCTGGTAATAGTTTTTCATTAAAATAAGAAACCCAGATAGTTTTCCCAATTGTGTCAATAAAGTGCTCAGCATTTTCAGCCAAATATTTTTCTAACGCATGTCAATAATATTTTGGTGAAGGGTACAGCGTTTTTGAAATTAGTTCTTTAAAAACTTCTTTATATGCTGATTTCCAGAAACTATCAGAAAGCTCTTCAAATACGATAAGCTTTTAGATATTTTTTAACATCTCTCTCTGTTTTGTTGCTACAAAATGGCATAGTCAATATAAAGAATTGATCTTTTTGTCTAATATTTCTATACTATAATTAAAATCATCAACAGTTAAACTTTTTTTATTTAAAAAAACATAGTTATCAGTTTCTTCATCTAA